GTCTATAAAAATTCGAAGCGTTCGAAGTTTTCGAATTTTATTTCTAAAGAATTTCGAAATCTTCGAATTTATCGAACCTGAAGTAAAAAAATATTCGAAATATTCGAATCTGAAATTCTAGAAACCGTGAAAGCTTCGAACTTTTCGAATTCGAAACTCCACTGTGATCGAAAGTTGCGAAGTTTTTCGAATTCGAACCTCGGTCGGTACGAAAATATCGAAATTTTTCGAAGTCGAAGCTCAGTACGCTTCGCAAATATCGAAACCTTTCGAAATCGAACTTGGGGTGGTTCGCGACATCCCTAGTCTGGTGTAAACACCAGACCCATCTAACGTGTTTTCGTGTGCACATAAGGAACCCACCTGATTTGTTATGGTATGCAGATCAGTGACTCACCAAATGCTTTTTGGCGTGCACATCCGTGACCCACCTAATGTGTTTTAGTGTGCACATCAGACCCACCTTATGTTTTTTTTTGTGCACACTGCACCAGACTAGTGTATCCTGCTGTGCAAATCATACCAGCTAAACTGTCTTGGTGTGACACTACACCAGACTAGTGTATCCTGCTGTGCAAATCATACCAGCTAAACTGTCTTGGTGTGACACTACACCAGCCTAGTGTATGCTAATGTGCACGTCAGAGCAGGATAATGTGTTTTAATGTATACGAGCGTACGTCCGAATACGCACAGACACACACATAAAGTGTTTTAAAATTGCAAACACGCAGAGATTCGCCCGCACACACAAGCTCGCCCACGTACACACACACATAAGCACACAGGCGCCTACGCACAGCTGCACGGCTGCTCACACACACACACACACACACACGCAGCGTGCATGCTCCTACGTTCTTAATATTGTTCTACTTAGGTTAATTCCAGTTAAGTTCACCATAAGGCTGGCGTGCCACTAACTTCGACGGAACCGAGGAAAATACTCAGCAAATCAGATGGTTTTTTAATTGGAAGGCTTCTTTTTTGCTTTATAATCGATTTGTTTACATTGAACACGTGAATTTAGAACAGGATGATCAGGTATTCTTCCCAAATTTGATTCATTAACTAAAATCTTGTACCACTTAAACTCTTTGCGTATTTTTTTTTACAATTATTATGTGAATGTTTCTTTTATATGATGTTTTGCGGAGAATCATGGCAAGGAAGAAGGAAGCGTTTGTTTTTTCAAATATACCACTTCGTCAAGGATTTCGACATCCTGTACGAGCCTCTCATTAGTCTAAAACAATAACGTTAAGCTCACCAGTTCAAGTGCAAACGCTTTCTATTGAAAATTGCACACTTTTTTATGGCTCCTGCTATTCGCAACTCTAGCGCGCCACTCGCCCTCCAGCGGACGAACGGAGAACCAGAGGAGCGGGGACGGCGGCGGCGGCGGCGGCACGGAAACGGTGGCAGGGACTGTCGGCCTTGATGCGTGAAGCCGTTTTAACAAAAAGAGTGAGCGCGTTAAAAAAGGAATTCTTGTGCTCCGCCTTGCAACAGCGTTGCACGAAGGACCGGGATGCCTAATTTCATTAGGGACTTTTTTTGTATCACATGCGCTGCGGATTTTTGGTCTTGAGCATGGCCGCCAGCTCAATCTGTGCTCAACGGGACGGAAAACGCTCCCGCTAATAATGAAGAACGCTATAGTACGGTCTACGGAAAGTCTATTCTTTGCCATAAGTAGAAGAAAACGTCGCGCAACGGTATTTCGAGCAATACAAATTGGGAATGGGTTCGCGTTTTAAGGCCGTTACAAGGAACATGGCCATTTATTCCAAGCGCTTTAAAAAGACAGCATACCCGTACTTTCTTTCAGGTATTTACAAAGCAAATAAAGAACTATTCGAAACATTTTAAGCACGTCTGTGTTAGTCAGCCGTTCGTGACAAGAGCTTAGAACGCGCAGTTTTGGCCAGAGGGACCGCAATGTTGCAAATAACACGGTACAAAAAAAAATGTACGGTATATTAAAATAGTTATTTTTAATAGAGCAATAAATAAAATCACTAAGCACGCCGATTATGTTAACAGGCAGTTTGTGCACAGCGTACAACACCCTTAAACTTCAGTTGGACGTACAGCGCACTGACGTTCAACCGGCGCTACCAACTTTCACGAGCGGCTTGATAGCCGAGTTGTGCAACTTATTAAAATAACTTCAGTGTAAATGACCGTAAAAAAAATAATCAGGGTTTTCTTGGCCCTACTGCAAAACCTCGGTGTTTTTTTTTTTTGTTTTGTTTTTTTTTTCGGTACTCTTTAATGCGTACTTTAGCTGTTTAATATCTTATATTGCGCCGTCATCAAGCCTCTCGTAAAAGTTGGGGCCGTCAGTTTGATATCAGAGGGCTGCACGGCGAACTGAAGTTTTGGAGTGTTGTATATTTAACAAGAAGTGTAAAGGCTACAACATTTTTTTTTTAGAGTGATGAGCACGGCAACCTTCCTGGCGCGCACTGGAAATTGTGCTTCAAAGGCGTAGCGCGAGCTTGCGGTTGTAATGCTAGACCGCACGGTAGCCTGTGGTGACAAACTTTCTATCAAAAATCGTAGAGCAGTTTTATTAGGTGTTGCAATACACAAAAACCGAGACGTTGAGCAGCGAGTTGTGAGGCTGTGACGCGAAGACACGAACACTGTGAACGCTGCTCTTCCGAAGCTTGACGGTCCCCGTGCCTGGCTCTCTTTTTCGAGCACTAATGGCAAGGCACCACCAACGTATCTTCATCACCCTCAAAAATATTCTGCCACAAACAGTAACGTAGCCGGTGCCTAAAACGCGCTCGCCCACCACAAGGCTTCGCAATTTGAGGTTTCTGCAACTTTTAAATAACAGCATGCTTCTTTTCCTAATGTGCAACGGCATCTCCGTCACCTGTAATATGATCCCTCCCTAACCGCTTTGCATTTGTAGAGAAATAAGTCATTTTTAGCGCGCTGAACGGCGTCAGCGATCAGGCGCACGGGATATCCTCGAAAATCTATCCCCGTCTCTTCCGCCATCTTGGAACTACCGCACCGCCACCTATAGGGCGTTGGAGTTTCGAATACGGTATGTCGATTATGCTATGGCATGGTAGAATTTTCGCACACATCGTGGTCGTAAAATATTTATTAAAAGAAAAAAAAGAAAAAAAACATTTGTTTAAGCTGAGAAAAAACTTGCCGATCTGGTGACCTAAATGTGTAACGTGTCCAAAAATAAAAAATAAAAAACTGGAGAAAGTAAAAAAAAAAAGAACTCGCCAAAGCGATGGCTGAACTGATCGCACTGTCAGTTGAGCCGGTAAAACTGCTAGCTGAACTGGTAGACGGGTTGTGAAACTTTTCGGATTAATAATCGAACAGAAACCTTTTTCGGGACAATAACGACGTCGGGCTTTTCGAGGTACGTCCGAAGCCTGATATTCATAAGAGCAACGAATTTTCGTCTTTTTGTGGGAGTAGCCGATTGACATCTTTCACAAATCATGACAGCCAAAAATATTACTCAATCAATCAATAAACCAATGGCAGTGTATACTACAAAGTTCAGAAACATTCATGGGACTTCACGCTGGTATGTTTCAATAATAATAATAATAATAATAATACAATCAATAATTCAAACGATAATAATAGTAAGAAGAATACAAATAATAATTATTAAAACAATAATTGAACTCATCGCATATACATATGCACATTACAAGAACGGGTCTGTCCAAGCCAAATGCTGCATCTGGTACAAAACCTGGCAACTCGAGCGACGAAAACAAAAACTCGGTTGTGAGCGCTCAAATCACCACGCAAATGAAAAAAGTAAAGCGTAATAATGCCATGCTAGACACTTATATTGGTCAACATTTTCTTCATTTTCTTCCTTGACGTAGCGTTAAGAATGTCTTCTTGAAGTTTATTAAGGGCACAATATAGGAGCGAAATCATTTCCCATAACGTGTAGAACACAGTGGAACGACAAAACATGGTACTTCACCTACATTCCTGGTCGGAACAAAAGGGCGCCTGAATTTATTGGACCATGCGTGACGAGACACAACAGTTTCCAGAGAAGTGAAAAAAAATGCGAAAATATTTTTCGAAGAAGAAATTTGTAAATCATATATATATGCAACACTTTTTATCAGGCACTCTAAAGTGCGATCAACATTGGTGCACCCCAGGTATGCACCGTTTTCAAAAGGGGTGATGCTACACCTAAGAATGCTAAACCCTTATCCATGGCTTTTTATCTAATACAAAGTCTGTTTTCTCCGGTGTACCACAGGGGAGTACCTTGGGACCTTTGCTATTTAACATTTATATTAATGATATTGTTAACATAGATTCGCTTGCTAAATGCGTTATATATGCAGATGATACAACCCTTTTATTTTCGGGTAAGACTAGTGATGAACTTATCAACTGCGCAACTGCGTTCAGTTGGTGTACGGAGACATACAGATTGAGGCGGTGCTAGTTACGGGTAGTGAAATAACGGTGATGCGCGAGACCCTAGTGCCAGAGGCATTGAGAAACCCGTCGGGTACAGTGAAGCTGATGTCAGGCTTTGGCGAAACCATCCAGGCAAAGCTAGTAAAGCTGCCAATAGAAGCAAGCGATATCGGAACGGTGAAAGAACCTCAAAAGATAGAGTTGGTGTGCGCGCTCACTAATCAACTTGCGAAGGGGGTAGACTGCCTACTGTCAAAAGAAGATTGGGAACTATTGAAAGCGCAGGATGAAGACACTCAGGTTTTACGGGCAGGGGCGGCGGCCAATCCTATTAAACTGAAAGAACAGCGGTGCATGAAAGACGAAAATTATGATCCGCTAACGTAGCAGCTTTACGGCAGAAAGATGACGAACCTCCCGCCGAATCTGAACCTCATGAGGTTGAAGAGACGGAGCCGTCGTTGGTCCAGAGAGAGGCATTTCGCGCAGCTCAGCTTACCGACGATAGCCTAAAGAAGGCGCGGGAAGACGCCAAGACCGGGAAGTCGGTCATGTTTGTCGCTAATGGACTGCTCTGTCACTGGGACTCGATAGCTGGTGTAAAGGTCAGGCAACTAGTTCTTCCCAGGGAGAGACGCGAAGAGGTGCTACAGCTGGCCCACGAGTCACTTTGGGGAGGACACATGGGGCCAAAAAAGACTAAGACTCGTATAAAGTATAGTTTCTTCTGGCCTGGAATGGAAAAGGAAGTGTCGGAGTACTGTCAGTCGTGCCATAACTGTCAGATTCGATCAGACCGACGTCGCAGTGACAAAGTACCGATTACCCCGCTCACAAGGCCTGAACAACCCTTTCAGGTAGTTAATGTGGACATTATAGGGCCCATTGAAACGTCGTCGGCGAGAGGGCACAAGTACGCGCTTTGCTTAGTGGATTTATGCACAAGGTGGCCAGAGGTCGTCTGCCTTCGCTCGTTGACTGCAAAGGCAACGTGCGACGCATTGCTCGAAATGTTCAGTCGCACGGGTGTACCAGAGATGATTTGCTCCGACCAGAGGACTAACTCCAAGTCGCAACTCACACAACTGATGCTGGAGAGGCTGGGCTGCTCCCCTAGATTTTCGACCCCGGAACATCCCGAGAGTAACGGGGCGGTGGAAAGATAGAATCGGGTGCTGAAAAACATGTTGTTTCATATCATGGAGCAAGACTCCAGGAACTGGGATAAGCTGGCTCCATTTGTGTTGTGGGCGTATCGTGAGGTGCCCCATGACACCACGGGAGTAGCGCCTTTTCGGCTTCTGTACGGAAGAAACCCAACGGGCCCACTCGCGATTTTGCAGCAAGCATGGACGGGGGAGATGACAGTGCCAGCGACGCTTAGGGAAGAACTGGAGAAGTACTTGCAACAGCTGCGAAAACAACTCGAAATAGCAGCTAGTGTAGCAAATCTGACGAGCACCGTAAGTCAGGGTAGTTACGCCGAAGCGTACAACCGAAAGGCACGCAACAAAGTATTTAAAGTGGGTGACCAGGTGCTCATTTTTGACACGGACCGCACCACTAAGCTGGCGCCTAGGTGGCGTGGTCCAGAGACAGTTATAGGGTGCGAGAGACAACACTCGTACAGAATAGAAACAGCAGAAGGGAAAACCTTTGTTGTTCACGCCAACCGGATCAGACCTTATTATGCGAGGGTAAGCCATATCGGGGTTGTGTTCGATGAAGATCGAGAGTTTGGGGAGGTGGAATATGCACCTCAAGCTGCACCCGTATGTCAGAACGAGGCATTGATACCTCCAGAAAGGGTAACTCACCTTGATGCGAGGGCTAGGGCAGAAGTGCAAGTTGTGTTCGAAAAACATGGTGCACTTTTTGACGGGAAGCCTGGAATGGCAAAAGTGGGCCAGCATCGCTTTGATCTAGAGGAAGGGGGCAGGCCGAAGAGGACATTCCCGTATAGAGTACCTGAACTTCTGAAGAAAGAAGTTAGCCGCCAAGTTAATGAACTTTTAGACTGGGGGCTAATCTACCCTGTAGAGAGTGAATTCGCACACCCAGTTGTATGTGTAGGAAAAAAGGATGGGACGATGCGGATGTGCATCGACTACCGGTTTCTCAATGCCGTTACCCGTGGGGACGCCTTTCCAATGACGAACCCACAAGAGCTAATTTTCAGGGTTGGTAGCGCAAGGTTTATTACTGTAGTAGACCTAAGACGTGGCTATTGGCAAGTACCAATGGAACCACACAATCAGTCTCTCACGGCATTCGTGACACATGAGGGACAGTACGCATGGAAAGTGATGCCATTTGGGCTAAAAAATTCTGCAGCAACCTTCCAGAGAATGGTCAACACGCTGCTTTCTAAGCACCAGGCGTACGCGACGGCGTACCTTGATGATATCGCCATATTTTCCAACACGTGGCAAAAACACTTGCAGCACCTCGACGCTATTCTCAAGTTGCTAGAGGAGGCGGGGTTGAAGGTGAGCCCAGAAAAATGCCAGGTGGCACAAACGCACATTCGCTATCTCGGGCACGTGGTGGGTTCTGGGACTCACGCGCCGGACCCCGAAAAGATAGCCGCTATTGAAGGCGTCGTTCCGCCTCAGACTAAAAAGGGACTGCGAAGTCTCCTCGGGCTATGTGGGTATTAGCGGGAGTATGTACAGAGGTACGCGGAGGTTGCTGGTCCCTTAACTGCGTTGACGAAGAAAAGGATACCTAACTCAATCCCATGGCCTGAAGATGCGCAACGAGCGTTTCAAAATTTAAAGCAGTCGCTTTGTAGAGCGGTAGCATTGAGCACTCCCGAACCTCATCAGCCATACTGGCTTTTTACTGATGCCTCTGCAACGGCAGCGGGTGCCTGCCTCGCACAAATGTCGGAAGATGGAAAGGAGAAGCCGATAGCCTTTGCCAGCCATCGTTTCACACCGACCCAGGAACGATGGTCGACCATAGAAAGGGAAGCCTTTGCTATAATAGGGGCGTTAAAGAAGTTCGATCATTCGCTCTTCGGTGCGGTGGTAAATGTTGTCTCTGACCATAACCCTCTGTCATACTTGACGACGGGTACTCCACACGGGGCGAAGTTGGCTAGATGGCCGTTGGCCTTACAGCGCTACAATATCACAATCAGCCACAGAAAGGGCACCAGCAATGGGAATGCTGACGCACTGTCCAAGCTCCCCGATTCATCTTGGGAGCCAATAGAATAACACTGTCATGTCAACTTGATTGGACCTGAATGTTCCCATTCACCCGTGTTGTGTTGTGAAAGGAACTTGCACCTGAAGTAAATTATGCTCAGACACTCATGAGCGGCGATTGTCCGCTACTTGTTCTTTTTTGTTTTGTTTTTTCCTCGTCTGTGTGTATTTCGGCGCACGTCTGTATTGTTATTTTAGGATTCGCTTGTATTTTGGATGGATGTGAAGTTTGACTTCAGCGGCCCGTGTTTGTTTTTCGTATGACTGAACGTCGTTGTGTCCAGTTGTACTCTTTGGGAAGGACGTCTAAGGCCGCTGACTTTTGGCCGACCCTGGGGTGCAATTCTCAGCCCTCCTAAGTATGTCTCGCGGGACAAAAGCAGGGAAAGTTGGGGACGCCACTAATCGGCTCGGCGCCTCGAGTCCCCGAAACGCGGACCTTCTTAAAGGGGTTATGACACGCCAAAAATAAAATATTACATAACTATACTGCTAGGACCCATTGTATGTTCCTATAATCCTGCTAAATTTGTTTTGAAAAAGGCGCGATAATTTCGTGGATAAATCGATTTATATGCGGGCCCCTCGGAAGGGCAGATCCGGGCGGACCTGGAGGCTGATGACGTAGCCAGCCTCCAGCGTGGTGTCTACTTGCACGCACTCACAGACTCGGCTCTCTTGGCATATCAACTCTCAGCTTCCTCGTTTACCTTCCACGTTTCCAGCATCCGGTCTGTGACGATTACGTCTATGGCATCGATCGCCTTGTCGAAGTGTTCGGCATTGATCGCAGCAGCGATGAGAGTGATTGCTATCAAAAGATGTTGGAAGCTGTTCATTTTGACTGCGACCCGCTGGCGACGAGCTCCAGCGACGACGAGTTCGCCGTGGTCACCGTCGTCCGGGAATATCTCGCAGGCGCATGCAGGGTGGAAGGTCAACCGGCCGGGGGGCGAGAGCGAGAATAGCTTTCAGTTTACCGAACTGTTTGAGCGGTTTTGTTCGTACCGCGACGAGAAGAGCTTGGGCGATCATGGGGGCGCCTAGAATGAGAGAGTGATCATGGTCACGTGGTTTATGGACACCATGCTGTGACTAACTGGAGCAGTGTTGCCTGGTCGCCAGATGAAAATTATAAAAATTCGTAAATTGAATATTGCAATTATCAGAGCTCTAAAAATTGCGTAACTTGGTGTATATACTATGTAGCCTATGAGCATTCCATTTCAAGAATAATCTATCCGTTTAATTTTCGTGTCATAACCCCTTTAAAGGTGCCGGCTAAAAGGAGGTATACAATGTCGGCGCTCGTCCGTCCAGCGATCGGGGAAATGCAGGGGGAACTTTGTGACCCTGCCATGACGAGGGAGACGGCATTGTGCGTTACTTGTCGTCGAAGGCGACGCCACTAATCGGACCGGCGCCTCGGGTTCCCGAAATGCGGACCTTTCTGAAGTGCCTGCTAAAAGGAGGTAGAGAGAGTCGACGACCGTCCAGTGTTCGGGGAAAGGCATCTGGAACCGGCTGGGTGACTTTGCCATGCCGAGGGAGAGGACATCGTGCGTTACTTGGGCGGAATTTGGGAAAGTGACATCGAAACACGATTGGTAAAATGGCAAGGGAGAGGGCATTGAACGTTTCTTGGGCGGAGTTTGGAAAGTGAAATCGAAACACGATTGGTGAAGTGACGGGGGAGAGGGGAGAGTGATTGTTTGAACGTGCCATGCTTTGTCTCATGAAGAGACAAAAATGGGAGACGAAGCAGAATGGAGAGAGCTCGACTGTAACTAAAGAGTGTCGAACGACGGGATTCCGTGCTGTGCACGCACCATTCTGTAAACTATTTGTAATGACCTGTAAATACATTTCCTACTTCAACTTTGAACGTCGTCTCCTGGATTCTTCGGTCAGCATCGCCGAGCTACGTGGAAAGAAGCTGGCCTTCCTCCATAGTAGAGAAGCAACGAACTTTACACACAGTATATCGCAAAATCGAAATACCTCAAAAGAAGAGGAGGTCGGAGGGAGAAGTGGAGGAGAGGAAAGGAGAAGGAGTGGAAGAGGAGGAGGAGCGGCATACTCTCCTCTCCGTACCCTCCCCTCCTTTTCCTCAAGAGCGAGAAATTTACCGAAAATGACCTGCTAAATGTCAGGGGAGCAAGAGAGGAGAGTAGAGAGAGGAGGGAACGTTCTTCCTCCTCCTCCGCACCCTTCCCTCCTTCTCCTCAAGAGCTGCGCTCTAATTCGGCATTACAGGGAATCGCAAACGTCTTTCATTTTATACATATCTAGTTATTCAGAAGTATTGCCGAAACGTTTTTTTCTGGTGCAGTCTGTTACATTCTTTACCGATCTAGCTACAGTGAATCCCCCGGTGTCGGAAACCACCCCAAGTCGAACATTGGAGGTAGGTAAGGCTCAGTGAGTCCCGGCATATTGAAAGCGAACGGGTGCGAACGGGTGCGCCGTGCGTCTTGCCTGCGCTCGTTGCATGCTACTGCAGTGCAGAGGCGCTGCATTAGCAAATGATGGTGATTATGATGATGAAGCACCGCCAATCGTCACAGTGAAATTTCGTGTTTGTCTTCTCCTTACATTACATAAATTATCGTTCTGCTGTGGACAAGCAGGTTTTTTCGCGTGGTCAGGTTTCGGCCTTGGTGCCTTATCGTTCGGCTCTGGCGCCTTTCTTTCTCAGGGGTGACCGACGACCGATTCCGTTTGCTTCTCGCTCTCTAAACTCTGCGGAGACGCGGAACGCGGATATCGAAAAGAAAGCGCTGGCGTTGGCGTGGGCCGCCAAAAGATTTGACGTACCTAAGAAGGATTGATGCCGTCCTTGAGTCGGGCCACAGACCGTTGGTTTCGTTTCTGGGAGCTTCCTCTTTTGACGTGCTACTTCACGCGTGCATCGTTTTCGCAGGAGGCCTATGAGTTACCGCTTCACGCGG